GTTTTTCTCAGAGCATTTATTATTTGCCAGTCTATTTGTTTACCCGCGTATTTCCTCTCTCCCCCTTCCAGAACACTGAGAGCAGGGACCTTAGACATGGTCTCATCTCTTGCATGTTGAACACAGCCCGGCAATAGTAAGCTATTACCAAAAATTTCGCCAGTGAATGCATGTGTATATGGGTGGGGCTTGGAAGATTCGTGCAGGTTTATGTTTTCTGTCATAAACTCTTCGTTATGACCATGGAATAACTGTTCTTGCTAAAAGCCACATAAATTAATTTTTTTTAATTTTGTATTTTCTCTCTTGGCCTTATATTTCAAATCATTCTGTGCTCTTGAAATTTATTTAAATAATCATAAATGCAATGTAATCTTTTCCTCACACTGAATTTGGATGCCATTAAAAATATATTTTTAAAAATATTTTTCTCGGGGCGGCCCAGTGGCGCAGCGGTTAAGTGCCCATGTTCCGCTTTGGTGGCCGGGAGTTCACCGGTTTGGATCCCGGGTGCGGACATGGCACCGCTTGGCAAGCCATGCTGTGGTAGGTGTCCCACATATAAAGTAGAGGAAGATGGGCACGGATGTTAGCTCAGGGCTAATCTTCCTCAAACAAACAAACAAACAAACACAATTCTCATTTGGGGCCGGCCTGGTGGTGTGGCGGTTGAGTTTGCACATCCCACTTTGGTGGCCTGGGGTTCACTGGTTCAGATCCTTGGTGTGGACCTATGCACTGCTTGTCAAGCCATGCTATGGTAGGCGTCCCACATATACAGTAGAGGAAGATGGGCATGGATGTTAGCTCAGGGCCACTCTTCCTCAGCAAAAAGAGGAGGATTGGCAGCAGTTAGCTCAGGGCTAATCTTCCTCAAAAAAAAAAATTTTTCTCTCAAATCACATCCTATTAAAAATTTCAGGTCTTTCATCCTCCTAACATTGCCCTTCCTAATTGTCCAACTGAATTTTTCTCAGGAGTGAAGACAACTTAAGTCATAGTAAAGTTAAGTTACACATGGTTAAGTAAAGAAATATTAAATCATAGCAGGTGATTAATTTTCCCCAACGTTTTATTACAAAAAATTTCAAACATACAGCTGAAAGAATTGTACAATGAACACCGTTTATCCACTACCTAAATTCTACAACTGTTAATTTTGCTATATTTGCTTTTATCTCTCACGTTAACACATACCTAAATTCATCCATCAATTCATATTATTTTTTGATGCATTTAATAGTAGGGTGCAAATATCACCACTCTATCCCTTCTCATATCAGCATGCATGGTATTGATCACAGTCCAATATTTGTTTATGTTTTTTTAGAGGTAAATTACATACTTGGCGAAATGCACAGATCTTAGATCTAACATTTACTGAGTTTTGACAAATGTTTAGCCCAAACCCCTCTCAAGATACAGAATACTTTCATTACCCCGAGAAAGTTCCTTCATGCCCCTTGCCAGCAAATCCCCATCTGTGTACCCTAATAGGCAACCGTTGTGATTTTTTTTTTCTACCATACATCAATTGGGCCTATTCTAGAACTTTATGTAAGTGGACTTATACAGGATGTACTCGGTCGTGTCTGGTTTCTTTCACTCAGTACATCTTTGAGGTTCATCCATGGTGTTGCATGTATCAGTAATTTTTTCTTGTTTATTGCTATGTAGTATTCCATTGTAGGAATATGCCACAGTTTATTTATTTTCTTGTTAATGGACACCTGGGTTATTTCCAGTTTGAGGCTATTATGAAAACATTCCTTATGAATATTCTTGTATAAATGGACATATGTTTTCATTTCTCTTGAATAAATAGGCTTGGTATTGCAGGGCCAAGGGGTGCCTGTATGTTTTGTTTTGTAACAAACTACCAGACCATTTATCCCAAGTGGCTATGGGTGGTTAACTTTTTAAAAAACTTATGTATTGTGTAGGTAATATGGTCATATGGTTCAAATTTAAAATTTGACAATGAAAACACCCTCCTTCTCCACATACCCCTGCTTTCCAGTTCTCGTTTCTCCAAGAGGTAGGTAAATGTTCTTACTTTCTTTATCCTTTTAGATGTTTTTACGCATCTGCAAAGCTACAAGTTCTCATCCTATATATACCGTTCTGCGCTTTGCTTTCTAAGAGGTTTTATTTTTGAGTTATCTTGTCTATGTGCCTATTAATGTAGTTTATATATATATTCATTATCTAAACCTGAATAGCCCCATATGGATTCTAATTAGACAATTCATAAAATGCTTGATCACTTGTATACTTTTTATGTTAATGTACCAGAGGAGGGATGTTAAATTCTCCAGCTCTAGCGACTTCAATTTGATGGCTGGACCTTTAGGGAAAGAATTTTAACCTCAGATCTTTTGAACTAAGCAGTTGTGCAGTCCAGCTTCTGCACCCCAGCAAGTGAGACTTAAGCTACAGTGGCATCCAATTCCTCTCCTTATTTGTAACACTTTTAAAAGTTGTGGTTTTTATATATTGTAATCAGTAAGTTCAGTCTGTTCCAAAACACCTTGGTCTTGATGTGTTTTCTCCATTTAATAATCACTTTTATTAAAACAAGTACAGCTTATTGACTGATCTACCAGATTTGCAACTGATATTCTCACATATGCGATAACATCTCTATGTAACACTATCGTACAGGCGTAGGGAGGTTTTAGTGAGGGACTTGATGAAACAGGCCTCATGGATGCTACTTATCATGAATCTCTATGAGGCATTTCCGTTGTCGTAGTTATCAGTTGTAGTTACAAAAACATATGCACAGCACTTAGAAAATGCCAGCAGAAATGTCCCCTGTGTAAAGCCCACTGGTCTCTATATTGCTGATCTTATAATTTTGCTGCTTCTGCTTGTCACTAGGAGGAATTGAGGTGATTAAAAAGACTACAAACTTTGAACCCTTACTGAAACTATTTGAGGTTCAAAGCCCTATTGTTTTCTGGCTGTGTCACCTTGGCAAGTTGTTACACCTCCCTGAACCTCAGTTTGCCGTCAGTCAAGTGAGGAGAAAGCAGAGCAGCATCTTAGGATGACCGTGAGGGCTATGAGGCGATGTACATCAGGGCCCACCCGAGGACTTGGCTCCAGGATTAGCCTTCTGCTGGTGTTGGCATAAAACTCAAATAAGTTGTGAGAAAAGGGGGAAGACCTATTATTTGTCAAAAAACTTTGCTGTCTGCTTGCTCCTAAATTACGTAAGTCAATAATTCATGTCTGAACCACAAGTGTTGTATTAGAAAGGGTAATTATGAGTTGAGCATTTGGACCATTTGTAGTAAATGCCCTTCGGGATTCCATTTTGAGAACCAATCCTTAGGGCCTCAAAGAAATGCCAGGGCAGACTGTGCCTTAGCATTTACAATCACCCAAGGCAGAAAAAAGTGAAACTACAGCAGAGGACTTAAGTCTCTTGATTCTAAAAGTATTGCTCTTTCCAACTGGGGCAGCTGTGGTGGTGGTGGGAAGAAAAGTTAGTGAATTTTAGACAAGAAAACCTCAGCTTTAGACCAACCAAGTTCAAGCACTTTCTATAGATGTGCCTTTGCAGAAGTAATTTAACCTCTATGTACCTCAATTTCCTCCTCTATAAATGGAAATAATCTTTCTTAGGGGTTTGTTCAGTTAAATGAATTAAGGTATGTGGAAGTGTTTTAAAAATTTCTAAAAAACCGGTGTATCTACCAAGTTTGAAGTTGCATCAAAATAAAATGTTACCAAGCAGCAATAATAATAACAAAGACACTTAGGGAAAAACGGGTGGGAACCTAGGCAGATCTGGGGTTCTAAATAAGGAGTGGGATGGTTCCATCAAGCTGTTGCTGAATCAGTCTTTGTGTCACTCTGTTTAGCATTCAACTTCAGAGAGAGGGTTCGCGTAGTCTGGCCCACATCAGGTGCTCTCGCCTTCAGCAGGGGATTGTGGGCACTTTGAGGTCCCACCAGATTGTATCTAATATGAGGTTAGTTTCTGCAGAGCAAAATCAAAATGCTCTTGCAAGAAAAAGGGGAAATGGATGCTGGGCAGGCATAAACATCAAGCAAATGCCTCCAGAACAGTGCAAACGTCAGCACCCTCTGTATGCATAGAAGAATTTTATAACAGAAGTAGAAGAGAGTACATTTAAGAACCAGCAATGGCCAGTATAATTGGGAGTTCAGTTTTTGAAATTTCATTGAACTGCATAGCTATGATATATGAACTTTTCAGTATGTGTAGTATACTTAAATTTTAAAAGCTTAACTTTTGCCATGTGTTAATAGTCCCAAATAGGTAATTATATGCTGAGTACTTTAAGAGCTGTCAGATCTTGCTATCTAAATGCTCATTTTTATTTCTGTGTGTAGTTAGCCTTCAACAGCTCCTATAAATAGGTTAAGATTTTCTGTGAATTCTGTTGACTATGCTAAGATTTTATTATGATCATCTTTAAATAAATCAGGGAATATATTTCTTGACTTGGAGGATATTCCTAATAGTGGTAATACTGATTAGATCATTTTCTATATCTGGGGATGACTTTAAAATTATTTTATAAAGAATTATAATGTCTTGTATTTTTACCTTCTAGACTTGCTGCTATCTTCTTATCTAACATACAAAATCCCACAGAGCAAAGACCTATTTTCCCCCCAAATTTTAGATATAATAGGATTAAAGAAGAGAAAGAACACAGTGTAGATCCTCTGAGTTATAGTTTTCACTATGTATATACGAATGCTATTTCACCACTCTGTCTATATTCTTTTGTTTAAATGCGTGCAGTGCATATGGTGAGAACATGTGACCCCAAAGAAGTCTTAGTGGGAAGGTAAGAGATCCTCTGGCGAATGTAGGATGCAAATGGACCTTTACTTTGGCAGTGCAGCTCACAGTGTACGAGGTATCATTAGAATATGGTTTACACACACCAATACGCAATGGTGGCGCCTTTATACCTCTTAAGGAAAGTGATGAATTCTTGGTTTGTTTCCGGTAGATTCTGCCGTTCCTGTATTGCTACCAGTCTAAAGAACAATAAGTGGACCTGTCCTTATTGCCGGGCATATCTTCCTTCAGAAGGAGTTCCAGCAACTGATGTAGCCAAAAGAATGAAATCAGAGTACCAGAATTGCACAGAGTGTGACACCGCGGTATGTGACCCTTGCCTGTGCTCACGATTACTGGCTTAGCCCTCTGAGAAGATTGTTATGCAGCTAATCACTGTACCTATGCCTTTGACCTCATCCTACCCCGACTTCTAAAGTTTATTGTCTCAGCCTCTCCCCTTCCCTTTCTCCAATTTCATGTGTGTAGGCTGCAGTAAAATTGTCACCTGACTCCAACCATGACCTAATTTTTCCAACAAATGCTGTCATCGACCACCCCTATTTCCTCTCTTGCTGTAAGTTCCATGACCGCCTATTCTGTGGCCTCCATTCATGCTCCTCTATTGCAGCCCACCAGTGAATAGCTTTATTATCAAATCCAGTGGCATAATTCCACCTATGTGATTCTGGACTATGTAGTATTTATCTCTATTGCTCACTTCCTCCTTGTTGCAGTTTTCCTCTTTGATACTATACTAGCCTGATTGGCTCATGTGAGGTGTTGGAAGCTGTGTAAAAGATTCTAGATTTTATCCTAAATGCAATAGTGAGTATAGGAAAAGGATAAGCTTTTGATCGGGTTTATATTTTGAAGACATCACTCTAGCATGTGCGTGGACGATGGTCTGGAGGGGGCAAAAGTGGGATTGGTGAAGCCAATTAGGCGGCTGTTAGGATGGGTCAGGTAAGAAAGCTGGTTTAGGGTGATAGCATTAGATCTGGAAAGAGGTTGTTTCAAGTATTTAGGAAAGAGAATTGAAGGAAATTGGTAATTGACTGGATGTGGGAGTGAGAGAATGAAGTGTCAAAAATGCCTCCTAGGTTTCTGACATGAGTAGGTGAAGGTGTTAATATGGGGAGCAGATTTGGAGAAGAATCCAGAGTTAAGTTTTAGATATGTTAAGTTTGAACTGCTAAGGGGAGGATATTTAGGGTATACCAGTCTAGAGATCAAAGAGAGATTATGTACTGAGGATCTGAATTTCTTTAGAGAACTTTCTTTTTTTTTTGAGGAAGATTAGCCCTGAGCTAACGTCTGCCGCCAATCCTCCTCTTTTTGCTGAGGAAGACTGGCCCTGAGCTAAGATCCATGCCCATCTTCCTCTACTTTATATATGGGACGCCTACCACAGCATGGCTTGCCAAACGGTGCCATGTCCATACCCAGGATCCAAACCAGTAAACCCCAGGCTGCCAAAGCAGAACGTGTGCACTTAACCACTGAGCCACAGTGGGCCACTGGGCCAGCCCCTAGAGAACTTTCTTGATTGTTAAGCTAAACTGTAGCCTGTTATGCTCTCTCCTAGCATCTTGTGCTTTTCCTTTATAGCACTTACCACCATTTGTCATTATGCTTTTATGATTTTTTAATTTAATGTCAATTGTCCCCACCAGATTTAAGTTCCATGAGGGTAAGCACTGTGTCTGTTTTATTGGCAACTGTGTACCCAGCACTATGAAAAGTGACTGCACATAGGAAGTGCTGTATGCATTTTTCTTTTTTTTTTTGGAATATTTATGTAAGACAATAATCTATTCGTGGCTGCCTGACTACAGAATTTATGCATGATCTTTGGAGTCAGACATCCTGGGATCCAACACTGATTCTCTGCATTATTCTTTGTGATTTGGGGCAATTATTAATCTAAGTTTTTGTCTACCTCCTTGAAAAATAAGGAAAAAGGTAATGTTCATGTCACAGGCTGATTGTAAAGGTAAATGATAAAACATCAGCTCTTAGCACGGTCTGGAACATTGTAAATGCTCAAAATCAATAGCTTTGTACATTCATAATAATGGATTACTGCTTATTTTTACTTTGATACTTTTTGTCACATATAAAATTCAACATGCACAAAATCAAACTCGTCATATTATTCCATCATCCAGTTCTTCATCTCACCTTTCGTGTCTGTCAGAAACAAGAACATTCTCTCAATTATCTTGGGTGGAAGTCCCTTTCTTTTTTTCATCTACCCATTTCTGATTATTCACAAGGATTTTGATTTTTCCTTTGAGATATTTCTTGTATCTGTCTCTTCCTTTTCATGTTATTCGTCTTGCCCGGAATACTGCAATTCCTTCTATAGCCATTTTAGACTCTATTCTTCAGAGTGCAGGCCACATCTACATTCTGTGAGGTCTGGCCTTCATATTCCAGTACCTAGCATCAAACAGTTTCCTATACACTTGTCTACATATCTTTTTTTCCCCTCCATTAGATTATAAGCACCTTTACTGCAAGCACAGTGGCTTATGTTTCTTCTGCCCTCTCTCACAATGTCTTACTCTATGATTTTATCAATTCATTTGTCAGCATATAGTCCCCAAATTGCTTCATTTTTTGCTGAGGAAGATTAGCCCTGAGCTAACATCTATGACAGTCTTCCTCGACTTTATATGTGGGTTTCTGCCACAGCATGGCTGATGAGTGGTGTAGGTTCACACTCATGATCCAAACACCCCAACCCACGAAGCTGGACCACTGAAGCTGAGTGCACTGAACTTAACCACTACGCTGTGGGGCTGGCCCCCCCAAATTGCTGATTTATATGAGGAATGCTTCTCTTTGTTGATGAAGGAATACAAAGAGGAAGAAAGAAACTTTTAACAAAAGTAGTAAAGAGACAAGAGAGCACTAATGTGCAAAGTTGGATTTTAAAGGTTGTAAAACAATCTGATTTAAGAGAGCTACCTAGATTGGTCCTAGTTTTTACCTCTTTTAGATAGATATTTGTAAAGTAAGGATTTGTCTTTACATTTCCACTTGATTTTATTTTTTACCTTTTGTTAAGCAATTATAACTGTTTCCTTGACATGGTAGGTTTCATATTTGAGGTTTAACTTCCGTAGCTTGGGCAAAATGAAGCAGGGTGGGTAGGCCCCCTTACCACAGCTGTACAGAGCTTCCTTTAGCACAAGATCTTATCAGTATCTGATGACACTTTTAGTAGAATATGTGTTATTGAGCAACAGATCCCTCCTGGTTAGGATTTCTGAATGTATATCTGGAGGAACAAGGGCTCTTTATTCTGCCTTCATAAAAAATGGACTGCAAGAGCTGTCTTTTATGTTTACTCTTAATGGGCCCATTAAGTATACTGTGTATTGTGAATTCATGTAATACTGCTGGATATATTATAAAACCATGGTATTCATATCTTTCTCTGAGGCACAGGGTTTCTTTTTACTTACTAGGAACATCTCTAAAATCCATCCATTTATTCTTTTTATCTTCATTTTCCTTTCTTTCTGTTTCTTTTCTTTTTTTTCTTTCCTCCGTCTTGCTCTCCTTGTCCTCTCCCCATTTTCTTTCTCAATCTTTGGATCTTCTAAGTAGTACAGAAATTTTAAAAGTGTTATTCTTGATAACGCCTTAACTTTGTTGTGCTGTTGTCATGAATGCATGCTTTTAATCTGCTGACCTCACACTATGACCTTATTTGAAATAATGAAAGTCATAAAACCGGATCACATAAGACTTCATTGAACCCCTTTCCAAAAGTGAGTTTATTTTCAATTTGCTTTTGTATAGGTTTGCCTCAGTGAAATGAGGGCACACATAAGAACTTGTCAGAAGTACATAGATAAGTATGGACCACTACAAGAACTTGGGGAGACAGCAACAAGGTTTGTTTCAATACAATATAGTTTAATGCGAAATTTGATATGTCTATATAGAATTTAATGGGCTGGAAAGTTTAACATTTTTATTGTGAAAATTATGTAGTTATGTTTAGGCTCTTAATCATAATACCTGTTATTGGTAATCATTTGTTAATAGCAATAATTATGAAAGAATTTTGCTCTCTTTACTTGAAAAACTTTGCATGGGGGAACCAACAGAAAACAGGAGAGATGGGGAAACTTCCTCAGACAAGTTTGTATTCAGGAAGATCCAAAAATAGAATGCAGAACTGTTCAATTTCTGCCAGGCTCTGTTTTCTGACTAGTAGCTTGCTGAAGTAAATCATGGTTAAAAGCTTATTCATCTTTACTTTTCCATCACCGCTGCTCTGTTTCCCAGCTCATTCCCTCTCATTTTGCTGGTTTCCCTTTAGAAAGCAGGAAGTGACATCTCGGGATATATATCCTAACAAGGAAGAAGGGGCCTCGGGCAGGCATTTGGAGTCCTACAGCTGCTTGGTGGATATTCTTTTACAGGGCTAGAGGAAGGGTGGAGGTGGCTAATAGGTATAATGGAGGATATTGATCGTTAATCTTTTTTTCCTTTAAAAAAAGAAAAGAAACAAATCTGGGTCATGACTACTATCCTGATGGCCAGAGTAATTACAAACGTTGGAGTCTCTCTGTACTGGAGAAATAAAGAAATGATTGTGTTCTCCTGCATCGGCTGATGGCTTAGAAACTATTAAATCTGCTTATAAACTCAGTTGTGCGATAGGGGTCTTCAGTAAGAGTGTGATTTCTTCCTCTCTTCTGAAGGAGAATCTTAGTTCTGCTTCTTTCAAGAAAATATATTCAAAATATAGCTTAAATTTCCTAACCTGAAAGTCTAAATGATCGCCCCCTTCCTTTTGTTTTACTAGAGATTTCTTTGCAAATGTACCTGTTATTATAGGATTAATCTTATATCATGTATTATAAACTTTAAATGAGTATTTTAGCTCTAAGCAGAGTGTAGATTCTATTAGATTGGCTACAAAGACCAATAGGAAGAAAGGATAACAAATGGGTTAAGAAAGTTTGTGGGTTTAGTTGCAAGGTTCATAGGCTTTATGAAAATTTAAAAATATATGAAAGCTAATTTAAATCCTAATTTCTCCTGCTACTTAGAATTAAAATAGCAGAAAATGAGAAGGGTTGTTGATTAATCAATCTTACAAGATAGATTAATATTTGCATTTAAGATAGAAATCTTTGCTTTATAGAAGAACTTACTATATGTTCAGATTTTTAAAATTCTTATACAGGGAGCTTGTCCCAGAGTACAAGCCTTGGGGAACAGGAAGTTATATTTATAATGGAAAGTGAGCAAAAAATTCCAAGCCTCCATATTGTTCCTAAGAATTTAAGGCAACACTATCCAATAGAAATACAATGAGAAATATATGTAATTTTAAATTTTCTAGTACCCACACTAAAAAAGTAAAGAGGAACAAGTGAAATTAATATTTGATATATTTTATTTAACCAAATATAGCCAAAATATTATTTGAACATGTAATCAGTGTAAAAATTGACATATTTTACATTTTTTAAATAAGCCTTTGACATTCAGTGTTTAGTTTATACTTCCTGCATATCTCAGTTTGGACTAGCCACATTTCAAGTGCCAATAGACACATATGGCTAACAGCTACTGGATTGGACAGCACAGATGTAAGGGACAAATGTTCCTTATATACACCTGTAGATATATATGCTAGTGGAGTTGGAGAACAAATAACACCCAATTTAGATGTTACCTGAATTAGCAAAGGAAGGAAGAAAAAGAGACAGAAAAAGGAACCCAGGGACAGCTGGGTGGTGTGTCCTCAATTTCTCAGTTAGTGAGTGCTCAGATTGTACTTTCTTCCAGAAAGAACAAAGTGTTTCAAGTGTGTTATAACTGTTTCTCTGCCCTGTCCCTATGAGGATACACATTTACATTTCTCATGAGAAAAAATTCAGGCACCAACACCATTACCAGGATAGGAAAAATGATATCAAATCTGAAAGAACGAGGACTGGAAACTAGATTTACCTATGTTCTATTTTTTACCTCCAGTTAAGTGCTAACAATTTTAGTAGTACTTGTATTCTATGCAATTTCCAGGTGCGTGTGTCCATTTTGTCAGAGGGAATTGGATGAAGACAGTTTGCTGGATCATTGCATTACTCATCACAGATCGGAAAGGAGACCTGTGGTAAGGATTTTTGTTGTTATATTTCTGGAATGTCTAAATTCAATATACTTTAGAAAATCCATTTACTAGGCTTCTACTTATAGACGTGATATAAAGGATAGTTTATGTCAAGGTTATGGTAGTTCTATGACTATTTTTTTTTTTAAGGATTTTATTTTTTCCTTTTTCTCCCCAAAGCCCCCCGGTACATAGTTGTATATTCTTAGTTGTGGGTCCTTCTAGTTGTGGCATGTGGGACGCCGCCTCAGCATGGTTTGATGAGCAGTGCCATGTCCGCACCCAGGATTCGAACAGACGAAACCCTGGGCCGCCTGCAGCGGAGCGCGCGAACTTAACCACTCGGCCACCAGGCCAGTCCCAGTAGTTCTATGACTATTAACAATATGAAAGTGTTGAGTTGAAACTGATAAGAATTACTAATGTGCAGTCATTCTTTTATTTATGAAATTAGACATCTCTTACAGATAACCATGGGCATAATCAACAAGAAGATCTAAAATGCACAGTTAAGGTCTAACTAGTATACTAACCAGTCACATCCTAAGTTAAAAGCTTTTTTTAATAATGCAAAGAGGGTTATCGTGACAGTACACTAGAAATGGAAAGTTGACAGTCATTCGTCTTTATTAATCAACCTATTGTTTTATTTCCTAGTCTGAATAATTATCCATATGCTTGCACTTTAAATATACATATTGCTCATTATTTCATAGGTCCATTGTGAAGGCTGCCTTTTTTCTTTTCAACCTAGCATTTTAGTTTTACTTGGCAGTGTGGTGTTATAATTTTCATTTTTGTGTAGTTGTGAGGAAAAGAAGAGTGGCGATGGGTACGTCATCGTTTACTCAGCTATTCTGCTATTTTTGAACACTTGGATTGTTGCCAGTTTTTAGGATTTGAATTCATATTCTTGTACATTTAAACCTTTCCTTCTATCGGATTTCTTCCTACAGGGAAATTCCTTAGATTGATATTTCTGGGACCAGGAGTGTAAACTTTTTAAGAACTCTTGAAATACGCTCCCAAAATGCCTTCCAAAAAGTTTAAGTCAATTTATATTTGTGTCAGCAATTTATGATTAAACCCCTTTCACCTTAACTTGGCCAAGATTGGGTACATTTATTTTAAAATTACTCAGGCTTAACAAATGTATAATTATACCTTGAAGATTATTTTGAGTTTTATTTTAGTTTTATGTTATGTATGTACGTGATTATGTGTGTGTGTGTATATATATTCTTACACACATCTATACATATATATGTCTATATGTGCGTTGTTTTTATATATATGTTTTTGCTTTTTGAACTGTGTTTTAAGTTTGTTTTTTTCATAAAATCCTTTCTGTATGTGGCTGAGATTGAAACTAGTATATTAGATAGACAGATAGGTAGGTAGATAGTGCTCACAACAATCCTATGAGATACGTATGATTATTATCCCCATTTTACAAATGATAAACTGAGGCTCAGAGAGGTTATGTAAGTCTTGCAAGGTAAATAGCAGAGCTACAATTTGCACCTAGTGGTCCAGCTCCAGGGCCTGCATGGTGAACACCTGTGCTCTACTAAGCAACTATGTGAAATCAAGGCTAGTGGAGAGTTCTCAGAGGAAGCCATGTACTCTCACGGTTGGGGAAACCAAGCTGGGAGGCATGGGGAGGATGAAGTGGTAAAATTTCAGAAGACCGGGATGCTATCACGGCCTTGAGGTGGGAGCAGATTGTTCAGAAAATCCATGGTTCTGTAACAGACCAGGGCCATCTAGAGATGGTCACTGGAACAGAAGACCTTTAGGTTTTCACTGTTAGCAGTTCGTTCTTGACTAGAAGCTGAAGACACATGTCACTCCGAAGGATCTAGAGCCAAATAGAAGTCAGGATCTATGCTGTGGTTATGAAAAGGCTAGAGGTAGGTATTGTGGCATAGCTGGAGTTCACGTGCTTAGGGATCCACACTGGGGACACATAGTTAAAAACACCCTGGTGGAAGTCCTGGACAAGGAGGACTGAGCCTGAGGCTGCTTCTGGATTGCTGTGGAAGTTAGCAAGGAATTACTGCTTTAAAGGATTCGATTGCTGGGCTTGCCTGCAGATGAGATCAGTCACATCATCTAATTTACCTGGCGTAGTAAGTTTCAGGCCAGTTAGAGGCTTGGGAGAGTGATTCTACCTTCCAGATACAATTAGGTAATTCTGAAATCAAACTACAAGCAACTAATCTTTCTTTTCCTTTTTTTGTTTGTTTGTTTGTTTTGGGTTTTTTGGTGAGGAAGATTGGCCCTGAGCTAACATCCGTTGCCAATCTTCCTCTTTTTGCTTGAGGATGATTGTCCCTGAACTGACGTCTGTGCCAGTATTCCTCTATTTTGTCTGAGGGATGCTGCCACAGGATGAGCGGTGTATAGGTGCGCCCAGGATTCGAACCTGTGAACCCCGGGCTGCTGAAGCGGAGCGTGCAAACTTAACTACTGTGCCACTGGGCTAGCCCCTAATTTTTATTTCCTGAGTTGCTCAAGACTGGGATAGTAGGTTAGGAACATCAGGGAATTTGACCTTCCTCGCGGGCAGCCTTCACAGCCAACAGCTCCTTTTTGTCACACAGTAGTTACGTTCTGCCATGTTTTATTTTTTTGAAAAAGTATATCTGTGGAATAATAGACTCAAAGGAGGTGAATGACACAAACAGCTTGCTTCCGATTGAATTATGAGACCACTTCTGAGAGAAGTTTGGTAGTTTATCTTGTAAAGGAAAGATGTTTCAGCCAAAACCACACTTTCTGGCTATCTTGTCTGCCCAGGGTCCTCTTTCTTTCTCTGGCTGGCTCTTATTTATCCTTTAGAGCTCAGCTTAAGTCTCACTTCCTCTGGAAGCCCTCCCTGACACCCAAATTAATTTCAGCTCTTGCTTTTCTCACCTCTTTTTTTCTAGTTTACCACAATTTGTAATTGTCTATTCATTTCATGCCTGTCTCTCTCTCTCTAAATTATTAAATTCTTGAAGTCATGGAACTTAACTCCTTTGTTCAACCCTGCATGTCCAGTTCTTGGTGGAGAACCTAGCACGTAGTAGGATGTAGTGATATGAAAAAAAAAGATAATAAAGAAAAGCAGAATTCCGGTTACCCAGGTTCAAAGATTCCTCTCGTCTTTTATTTTCTGTCTTGCTCCGGAGATTCATTCCTTAAGGGAAGTGACAGGACTTCTCTTGGTTTGGAACAAAAACTAGGGTGACTAGAGCCTGAGCCATTCCTCCCCACAGCAGGTTATTTCCAAGAGGTGTTTCCTTCAGAATACCTGTGACTTGACTGGGGCGTGGGAGCGTGTGTGCACAAATGTTTTGGAAGGAAGAAAAATCATCATTAAATTTGCTTTCAAACTCTTACTAAATTAGATGTGCAATTTGGTACCTTAATTTTGGTTATAGATTTGCCTGTAATTATTTTCAGTGCCTGGCTCCTTTCTCTTCTTTTGGCGTTGGATTCAGGAAACTTTAACTTCTTCTCCAAATGGCATTTGTCATCATATAGGAAGTTTTCTATAATTGGCTGAGTGGCTGTGGAGGTTAATCGAAATCACAGATAGAGCTGGGTGTCCAGTGTAGTAGACATTCCGAAGGATTGAAGTTGGTGGTAGCTTCTAATGTGGTGGCTGTTACTTGCCCATTACATTCCCCATCAGATAAAGTCCATACTGAGATGAGGTGAAGATCTTTTGAATGTACACTGAACAATTATTGGTACCTAATATGAGTAGTATGGGCTGGGAGCACTGAGTAGAAAGGAATAATACAGGATGAGCTGATGTTAGGAAAATGGCAACGTTAGGGAGAGGGTGGGTGAACACTTAGGTACTTAGGTGATGATCAGTCAGTCTCTCATTTACCATTTCCTTCTCCTTCCTATTCTTACCCTTTCCTCCAACAGGTCAAATTCCCCAATGTAAGAATTAAAAGAAATTTTTGGAGTAGCACAGACTTTAGCCCATTGTTTTGCAGTGTCCTTCTAGTGGAAATCTCTTTAGTCACACAACTAAATTTTCTGCACACTGGAAGACTGAAGCCTCCACTCGCTCCTTATTAACATCAGACTAAAAACAAAAACTACTTTGCTTAAAATTCCAGGTTTCCTGTAGCTTTCTCCTCTGTTAGACTTGAAGCTCCTTAATGGTAGGGCCAGGGCTTAGTCATCTCTGTACCTCTGGCTCCTGGCGCGGTGTCATCAGAAACCATGTTCAACGCTCAAATGAGGATCTATTGAGTTGAACTGGTCCCAACTCCTCGTGCCAAACTCGTCTCCCACCACTTCCTCCAACCTGCCCTGTCCTCAGCTGTGCTGAGCTATTTCCATTGCCCTGTCCTTTTAGGATTTCCAGGCTTTCTCCACATTGATTCCATTGCCTGTGATGCGCCTCCTTGGGCATGACTGGCTCGTTCTTTAAGACTCATTTCAGTTACCAGAAACTCGGCTGAGTCCTTTCCTGAGTTCCTGGGCAAAATTAGTGATTCCCTTTTCAGGTCTTGAACAGTTGTCTGTTCATATCTTGAATATAGTGCTTGTTATGCTGCGTTGAAACTATCTGCTTAAATGATAAGCCGTTTATTATATGTGCCAAGGACTCAGCTAATATAGTGACTGGGCTTCATAATGTGAAATTATGTCTTATTTTGAATCTACCAACAGCCCCACAAAACAGAGATAATTCTCATCTTACAGGTTAGGATTAATTATTTGCCACAGTTAAGTCAGTGAGAGGCTGGGATGAAATTGGAAACTATTTTCTGGGTACTGGGAATGCAAGGGTGAACAGGACATGTGTAATCTTCCCTTAGGGAGCCCCAGCTATTCAAGGACAGGGATCAAAATAGTAGTAAATATATGGCATTTATTAAATGCCTCATATGTACTTGGCACATTAAGGACATTATTTATAAACATCATAACTACTTTACAAGATAGGTAGTGGTGTCTCCATTTGACAGAAGAGGGAACTTACGTGTCGAAGGTCAGACAGCTGGTAAGAGCCAGTGCTAGGATTTGAACCCAAGGCTTGCTGACTTCAAAGGCCCTGCAACACAACCCTAGCTTACTGGTTTCTGTATTCCACGTGCTTAGCACAGAGTAGAGGCACAATAAAGAGTGTTGAATGAACACATTTCTCTCACACACATATTCTTTCTTCCACACCACAAAAAATTAGTTGCTTTTCTGTTAAAATATTTCTTGGTCTCAGCTCTGTTCTTGTTACTACATAGGTGTCTCAGAGTAGATTCAGTGGTGTCTTGCGATAGCCAGTGTTGCCAGTTAACCAAGATAGCTAGAGCATTAGAAAATCATAAGTGGTTAGAAAGCAATAATAATTTGAATGATGTCATTTTATTAAAAATAAGACATAAAGATTAACAGAGTAGGGGCCGGCCCCATGGCTGAGTGGTTAATTAGGTTCTCGCACTCCCCTCCGGCAGCCCAGGGTCTCGCTGGTTCGGATCCTGGGTGCAGACATGGCACTGCTCGTCAGGTCACGCTGAGGTGGCGTCCCACATGCCACAACTAGAAGGACCCACAACTAAAATATACAACTATGTACTTGGGGAATTTGGGGAGAACAGGCGAAAAAACAGCAACAAAAGGTTGGCAACAGTTCTTAGCTCAGGTGCCAGTGTTTAAAAAAAAAAAGATTAATGGAGTAGAGCAAAGTTCAGAAATGGAGCTTGTTTATAGAAATTGAGCATATTGAAACCAGGACCCCATAAAACAATAAGAAAGAAAAGAATTATATAAAGACCTCATTTAGATTTAAAGAAAAACATCATCCAAGGTGATAAATTAGACACTGTTATAATATGAGAAGAACACTGGATTATCTAGTAGAGGCTTAGATTCCATTGCTGATACTTATAGTGGGATAAATTGAAGCTTATTTCTTCCCCTCTGAAATTAGGTTCTTCAACAAAATAAGGATAATAATTCCTTGGATTTTCGTGAAGATCAAATGAGAATACCACCTAATTTATACTTAGCACATGCTTAGCATTCAGTAATGATTCTGAATCTGGTATTTTAGGTAATGAATACATGAAGAAATAAATTTTTTTAAAAACCTAGCTTAAAACATAATAAAGCAATATACATTAAAAGAGTCATTTATATTAGCCGGTAGGGAAATGCATGTTTAAACCGTAATGAGATACCACTTACACACCTATCAAAGGGACTAAAATAAAAAAGTATTGACAGTACCAAGTGTTGGCAAACATGAGGAAAAACTGGATAATTCCACATTGCTGATCGGAATGTAAAATGGTACAGTCACTCTGGAAAATAATTTGGCAGTTTTTTATAAAGTTAACCATAACACCATATACAGATAACCATAACCATAACCATAACCATAACACCCAGCAATCACACTCCTGGAAATTTATCCTAGGAAAGGAAAATGTGCCTGTGCAAATATCTGTACACAGATATTCATTGTAGCTTTATTTGTAACAGCCAAAAAGTAGAAAGAACAAGTGTCCTTCAGGGGGTAAATAGATAAACAAACTGTGGTACATCCATACCATGGAATACTACTCAGCAATAAACAGGAAGGAACTAGTGATGCAGGCAACAATGTAGATGAATCTCAAAGTCATTAAGCTCAACGAAAAAAGCCAATCGCAGAAGATTAAATACCGTATAACTCTATTTATATAACACTCTCAGAATGATGAAATTATAGAGGTGGAGAACAGATCAGTGGGTGCCAGGGTTAGGGAGAGAAGAGAAAGTGAAAAGGTAACATCAGGGAGCTCCCTTGTAGTGACAGAACAGTTCTGTATCTTGATTGTGTTGGTGGTTATATGAACCTATACATGTGATAAAATTTCATAGGGCTACACAAATGTACAACCCCTCCCCCCAAAATGAGTTCATGCAAAAATTGATGAAATCTAAGTATGATCTGTAGTCTAGTTAATTGCCATTTTCCTGGTCTTGATAATGTACTATAGTTATGTAAGATGTTTCCATTTGGGGAAGCTGGGTGATGGGGACATGGGACCTTTCTGCATTATTTTTGCAATTTCTTGTGAGTTTGTCAATATCTCAACCCATTTCATTACCCATTTTTTCAAAATGAAAAAAAATTTTTTTAAAGAGCAATTAATGGCTATTAAATTAGGAAAATACACGTAAATACTAAGAACTGATGCTGGTGTGTGATAATCTATATTACTGATAGCAATAAAAAACTATAGAGCAGGGGCTGGCCCCATGGCCGAGTGGCTAAGTTTGCGCACTCCACTGCAGGCGGCCCAGGGTTTCGTTGGTCCGAATCCTGGGCGCCATCATGGCACTGCTCATCAAACCACACTGAGGCAGCATCCCACATGCCACAACTAGAAGGACCCACAATGAAGAATATACAACTATGTACCAGGGGGCTTTGGGGAGAAAAAGGAAAAAATAAAATCTTTAAAAAAAATACAAAACTATAGAGCAATAGATATTATGAATTGTAAATATTCATAACCTTTGACCTACTAATCTCCATTTCTGGTCATTTATCCTAAGAAAATAATCCCCCAAAGATAAACACTATAGATAATGTCATTTATAATAACAAAATATCCACATACAAAAAAACTTGTCTTCCACAAGGTAGGCAACTAATTAAGTAATTTATGGTACGTCTACCAACTGTAATATTGTTTAAATAATAAATTGATAAATATGAAACAAATAGTTATATACAAGAAATACATATGAAGAATAGATGTGATTTTATTTGTTTAATGTTGCTTTAATATTCATGCAATTTTAAAACATAATACTGAAGTATGGCCAATATATTCATGAAGTTAAAATTCGCTTTGTTGAACGATTATTTTTTAAATCTGAAACTAATGATTATTTTAAATTCTTTCTTGAACTCTTGGTCTTGTTTATTTCCAGTTCTGTCCCATTTGCCGATTAATACCTAATGAGAATCCGAACAGCTTCAGTGGCAGTTTAATAAGACATTTGCAAGTCAATCACACTTTGTTTTATGATGATTTCCTAGTGAGTATATTTTCTTACTTTTACTTTGTTTTTATGCTGTCTGTGTTAAGCTTACCTTTTTTAAAACAAGTAAATAAAATTCTAGAGAAAAAAATTTGTATATAGCTGAAGTGTTAACTATTAGCATTAAGTAGGAAATCATAAAAATATAATGTTTCATAAATTTGACTGTTAATATTACAGTGGTTATCTGCCTTAGACAAAATTATTTTCTTTGTGATCCATGTGTAAAGAACCAGATTTTGCTTTCAAATTATTTTAATTTCTACTCTCGTCCCTCCCTATACATAGTTATAATTTTTATGAACTTGAAAACTTACATAGCTCAGATGAAATCACATCAGTAATGAAATGGCTTAGAGAGTTTCTTCTGCATCCAGTTGCTTTTTAAATGGCTGTTAGTAGGTATGACATTGTCAGTAGTGAGACACACAGGCCTTATTTTTAATTTAAATTCTATAAAACACAACACTCATGTTTACTGAACTTTTTTAAACTTAAAAAATTTATTATGAAAAAATTTTCAACATGTGCAAAAGTAGATGGAATAGTATAATGAGCCTCCATATACCCATCACTGATCCATCAATAACGACCAACTCCTGGCCAATCTCCTCATGTTAAGACTTTTTTTAAGATGTAAGAAAATTTAAGTATAATATGAATAGTCCTTTACTTATGACTGTATTTCCCACGATCAGAAATGAGACTAATAAGCAAAAAGTAACATAGCTTTTGTTGTACTTCGGTCCATGCGTCGCCATGTGAGGGTAATGGGTTGTCTTCTGAGTCCCTTTCAGTCTATTATGGGGAGAAAAATCACTCATAGCCATGTTCTGAAATAGAATATTTTATTGTTACTTTTATTTAAATATGTGAAATGTTAAGGGTTAAATTTGAATTTGCATGTAATTCACATGATTTGACTGTTTTCTTTTCATGCTATTTAGGGTAGAATTTAATAATTGTTAAAGACTGTCATTTGTAAATTTTCTCCTTGCTTTCTGATCTGCCCACTGTGATTATCCAGGTTCAACACAAGGACCTTGAGTCCTGACCTGGGTTCTAAGTAACAGCTCTGTCACAAGTGTGTGACCTTGGGCAAGATATTTAACCTCTGAGCCTCTGCTTGTTCATTTGTTGAGTGAGAAGAATAAAAACACCTCTTCCCTAAAGCTTTTGTGAGGGTTAAACGAGATAATGCATCTAAAGTGATTTTCACAGTTTGGGCCCTGATGTTAGGCGGGTTGAAGGGAAGAGAGGATGTGGGAGTGGAAGGACCACTGGAAGAATCGAAGAAGCTGCCCCACAGAGGCTTCACATTCTCTGCTCCATCTCTCCGATAATGTCTTTCCTGGCGCCTAAAGCACGCAAGGCCTCACCAGAGCCTGGTTCTGGTCTGCGTGTGCTCATTTTTCACAACGCATAATGCTTCCTCTTTAGTTTAGCTCCATAAGATGTTCTAAAAGCCAGGTTGATTCCATACCTGTTCTGACTATTCATGTTCAGTCCGTTCTTCTCAAGACCTTTCAGACACAGTATGATCCAGGGCAGGTCAGGAAGAAGTCACTTTCCCCCACTCAAAACCATATTCTTGGGGGTCGGCTCCAAGTGGCCGAGTGGTTAAGTTCGCGCACTCTGCTGTGGCGGCCAAGGGTTCGGATCCTGGGCGCGGACATGGCACCGCTCGTCAGGCCACATTGAGGCGGTGTCCCACATCCCACAACTAGAAGGACCTGCAACTAAGATATACAACTGTGTACAGGGGGGTTTGGGGAGATAAAAGCAGAAAAAAAAAAAAAAGATTGGCAACAGTTGTTAGCCCAGGTGCCAATCTTAAAAATAAATAAATAAAAATTTAAAAAACCCATATTCTTGGATATGGAATGAAGTTGAAGGGATGTTCTCTGTTTTGCTTTTTTGTTTCTTAAGTTACCACCAAGTACTATACGATGCACTTTATACAAATTACCTAATTTTATTCCTTGCAGCAACTTCTGTGAAATGAGTACTGTATTATGATCCTCACTTAGCTGTGAAGTATCTGAATCCCAAAGTTTAATAAATTGCTTAAGAACAAGCCACTGTTTAGTACATATCTTGTTCTCTTCTGTGCTTTATGGCTTTCCTTTGGATTTTGCTTAGTTACTTTTATGTTTTAGAATGCACTGCCAATGGAGAGTTTACTTTTTTTTTAGTTTATTGGGGAAGAGGAGGTGGATTGCAGAGGATAGAGCTCTTAATAGTTTTTATTTTTTTTACAAAATGTGCTGATTTAAAAGTTTTGAATTCCATTTTGACCTCAGGGAGGCAAGAAGAAAGATTTGTTTTCAATTTTTTTTTGGAAATAGATATTCAGTAGTACTGTTGGGATTGGTGAATCCTATGGGAATGTCTTAATTTTATTCCATATTATATGTTTATGTGAAACATAACACTCTTACCAAGATTTGTAATGTTGACTACAAACTACTAGGTAGATCAGATAAAACCTTGACATTCCAAATCCAGACTATTTTACTATGACAATAACTGGTTAATTGATAGGCAGTAAAATGAAATAGAACATGCACTAACCACAAAGCAAACATCCTGGGTTCTGTGACAGTTTTTATGGAAACTGAGAGATCACTAAATTCAGGGCCTTGGTTTCCTGCAAAATGAGGGCATTGCATTGACTCTCATTGTCCAGTTTCTGAAAACTATTGTCTCTCATTATATGTTTCTAACTATTTTTCTTTATTGTAGGATTTTAATATAATTGAGGAGGCTCTTATCCGAAGGGTCTTAGACCGCTCTCTTCTGGAATATGTGAATCGCTCGAACACCACATAATTTTTTTAAAAGGAAAGAGAAGGAAATCATACAATTGCACCATTTGTTAAGATGCTGCTTGAAAAATTGAAGGGAAATGGTCGATGTTTAATGAGCAAAAATGTACAACACAGTTAAATGTTTGCCCGTGTTTATTGTTATATTGCCTTTTAAAACTACTTTCACTATGGTGGTTTAAATGTTTTACATTCTTGAGTTTCTTAGACACTTAATGACAAAAAATTGTCTCCATCAGCCATTAATATAGGGAAGAGAACACGAGGCTGGGTATGTGGGTGAAGGATCTTTATTTGTAAACTGGATGACACTGTGTGTAATGCTACATGTTAATAATTACCTTCATGGCTGGGCAAGATAACTAATGTTTGTTCTATGTAAAAAGATGGAGAGTGAAACAAAGTGTGGACTTTCAAGGAAATATGAAATCTGTTCCAATGCTCATATTCTAATATCTAATAGAATAACATGAATAACCTTACATGAGAGTAGGAAAGGAAAATTTTGGAAGTCAGCGAAGTCTGTTTAACCAAATTGTGTAACATAATACTGTAACAAGATAAACTTTGTGTTAGGAATGTATACTTAATTATTTGACTTTTTATAACTGTGCACACATAAGAATTTAATACTATATTTTTCAAATATTTGTAGCTTATTATTTAGAAATATTTCTATAATATAGGCAATTTTTTAAGAGCCATCAGCTGATATTTACAGTAGAAGTATTCTCATGCATAATTTTTAGTGGAAAACCCTAAGGGCTTTGATTTTTTTTTATTTTATCCTTTAGAAAAATTATAAAATAAAACATAAGTAACTGAAAACCAAAAGAAAATGTATAGCTTATTACATTATTTTAGGGAAATACTCTTTTAGAGCTCTGCCTGCCACCCTGGATGTCCTCTGTCTGTCCTGTCACAGTTGACGATCTTCTTCCCCAACCCCACAGAAGTAACCACTACATTGATTGCAATAGTAATCACTTCTTTGCATTTCTCTATCATCACCCACGTGTGTACCTCTACACACTGCATTTTAACCTTACCCATTTAGAATTGTTTTATTACATACATCTTTTACATCTCTCTCTTTTTTTTTTAAGATTGGCACCCAAGCTAACAACTGTTGCCAACCTTCTTTTTAAATTTTTTTAGTGTTTTTTATTCTTCCCAAAGCTCCCCAGTACATAGTTGTATATTCTAGTTGTGAGTGCCTCTGGTTGTGCTGTGTGGGGCACGGCCTCAGCATGGCCTGATCAGTGGTGCCATGTCCACGCCCAGGATCCAAACCGGTGAAACCCTGGGCCACCAAAGCAGAGCGCCCGAACTTAACCGCCAGGCCACAGGGCTGGCCCCTTACATCTCTTTTTAATCTAAAGGTTCCCCCTTTTTTCTTTTCCTTAAAATTTACCAGTTGAAGAACCTGGTCTTATGACCTATAAAGTTTCGCACAGTCTATATTTTGCTGATTGCATACTCATGGTGCAATTCAGCATGTTCTTCTCCCCTCTGGATGTGACACATGGATCCGGAGCTTTGAGCAGACTCAGGTTCAGTCCTTTTGGCAAGACTACAGGTCATGGTGTGTTCTTTCATCAGAGGGCACATAATGTCTGGTTCTCTCTTTTTGTGATGTCAGTAAAATTGATACTCAATGCCTGGATCCATTGTGGGGTTGGAGTATTCTATCATTTTTTTCATTCATTAGTTGGAAGATTTTTATAAAGAGATGTTTCCCTACATCTACTATTTGGTTAACCAGTGAAAGGGAAAGGGAAAGTCAATATTTGAATTTTCCCTTTATTCACCAATTTTCAAGATAATAGACTTGTTTCCTATCATCTTCCAGAGATGACTTTTTTTTTTAGTATTATGAACTCATGGATTCACACGTATTTGATAAGTTTCAATCCGTTTCAAATATTACCTTATTAAAGCTCAAATTGTCCCATCTTTGGCCATTGGGAACCTCATCAAGTTGGTTCTGAGTCCTTTTGACACTACTCTGCAGTCTTTAATAGCTTCCTTGCTGTCTCCTATGACTAGATATTCCAAGCTCAACTTGTATGCTTCCTGCATCCAGACCTGGAATCAGTCATTTCTCTGAGAAGCCTGGTTACTGACGGTGAGAAATGGTATTTCAGAACCATAATCTAGGCTCTGAGGATGCTCATTGCTATTACATTGGTCACTGTTTCTAGGAGAAAGCTAGGAAATATCTATGTTTTTTAAGGATAAAACATTTCATGAGTTTATTTTGATACTTCCAAATCAAATTGAGTACTACAGGATTTTTACCTAATCCTTTCTATTACAAGTATATCTCCATTTTTTTCTATATTGATAATCCTGGTTTTCAAGGACACAGGGTATGATAGAAGTAGAATATCCCACAATTATTCATTTCCTTTATCTACCTTATACATGCAATAGTTTTAGCATAACAATACTAATACAACCACCACCAATATGATAACCAAAACAGTTAAAATTTTTTTCATTTGCTCTCCCTATTCTCCTTCTATTTTTCTTTTTTTTTTTTTTGAGGAAGATTAGCCCTGAGCTAACTACTGCCAATCCTCCTCTTTTTGCTGAGGAAGACTGGCCCTGAGCTAAGATCCATGCCCATCTTCCTCTGCTTTATACATGGGACGCCTACCACAGCATGGCTTTTGCCAAGCAGTGCCATGTCCGCACCTGGGATCGGAACTGGTGAACCCCGGGCCACCAAGAAGTGGAACGTGTGAACGTAACCACTGCGACACCTGGCCGGCCCCTGCTTCTATTTTTTAAAGTCATGTTATATTAACATTTTCAGAACATACTGGTATAACATACTATACTTTCTCCCTCCTAGCTCTCATTTAGTCTTAGTTCTTCAGGTAACTATATATTCAGTGCTTGCCACTAGTCCTTATTTGATGACTGTGACTATTTTTCGTATCTTGCTTTTTAATGACGAATCCAGGACAGAGAATAATGTTTCCATCCTGAAAGCAAGCAAAGAAGCTATAAAGACTAGTGATGCCAACTCCTGAGGATAAAATGTTATTTGGCTGTAGTTAGCTTTTTAATTGTAATCATTTATAAGCTTCCTTGTTTCTTACACATAAATGTAGTCATAATCGTGATGCCCCAAATTTTCTGTAGTAAATTATCCATTACTTCTTTAAAGTCTTGCTTACTATTCTGCCATCCATACAAGATAATTAAAAAAACATAAAACTGGATGAAATCTAGGGGGCCTTATTTCTGCCCTTTTAGGTATTGGTTTCAAGCTTGCTTTTCACAGCTACAAACAAGTAATAACAGATTTTTAGTTTCACAACCTCTCTTCCTCCAATATGGATGAATCATCAATAAAGCAAAACCTGTTGGACAACAAGTGCAAAAGGAGAGGAATTTTAGAGATAATCAGACTAAAAACCTAGTCCCTGAAAAATGAAAGAATATATTTCTAAGCATTAGTACCGACTATCCAGAAAATAAATCTTCGTTAATTCAGAGCAATACAAAATGCATCTTTCAATTGTAAAACTTGAAAAAATTTCAAAACTTTAAAAGCTGTATTTTAAGTAAAGCTTTAAGTCACCTGCCACTATTAACCTCAGTGCAGCAGTTCTGCCTCTTGTCCCTGGGTTCCTCTTAGGATAATTTTGCCACCTACAGGACAGATTAGGTGCTGGCCGCCTGAATTATTTTGCCTTTTGAATTATTTTGAGTTCTAAAATGGTGAGGTGCAAATGTTCGTTGTTTCACTGTGCCTTTAGCCTTTTATAAAAAGCAATTTATAATACAATTGTTTTAAAAAAAAGTGAAAACCAGTATTGGAAATTGTTGACTACTAACAAAAAGTTTCACTCTCTTTATGGCACCTCAAGATGCAACTTTTTCAAGGCCTCGTAGGGAAAACACTGATTCACATGTCATTCTTCAAAAGCTAAATTCTTCTAATCCTACAAAAACCTATGGAGATTTTCCTTCCATGTGTTTTTTCACCCAACTGTCTACAATATAGGTTGATAAATTGGATTGTGAATCTGTAGTAAAGATAATTCCAGGTCAGATCTCCTAAGAGATCCTGGCTCCAATGATGATCCTTCATCACTTTTACTGGGTGCTAAGTGTCTTTCATTTTGAAGTGACCTTACTCCAGTTATTGAATGTTTGTCATAGAATTTGTACCTTGAAGCATTGAAGTTGTTTTAAAAAGTCATTAAGAGAGTCATTCTTTTATTATTCAGCTGCAAAAAAAATCTGTATAATGATCAGAATTTAAAATGTACAATTCTTTTTCTTCTGTAAATATGTGTTGGGAGAAATAAAGAATGGCAGGACCATTGCTTTCATTAAAATATCTACTGTGTCTATTCTTGTATATTGATCTTGATAATTTTTTACACAAACTTAATATGCTTTTAAAATTGTCATCATTCAGCAATATCTGTCACAAAAATATACCTTCATTTAGGCCATTAGTTCTCAACTAGAGGCAGTGTTGCATCTCAAGAGACATTTGACAATGTCTAGAGACATTTTTCTTTGCCATAACTGGGGTATGCTATTGGCCAGGGAAGTGAGTAGAGGCCAGGGATGCTGCTCAACATTCTATTATGCACAAGACAGCCGCTCACAATAAAGAATTACCCTGCCCCATATGTCAATAGTGCTGAAGTTTAGAAACCCTGATTTAGGCCAAGGTAGATTTAGGCCAAGCACCATAGAGTTATTTTTGGTTCTACTTCCAAGGTACTTCCTTGGAATTTAATAAAGAAGATGTAGATGAACTCTGTATATCCTCTTCTCTGCTAAATACATACTAAGTTTTAGGTGTCTGTAGCAGTCATGTGTACCTGAGTTCAGAATATGCTCAAACATATGAAAGTTTTTTTGATTTTTTTCACAGGAGGTACAGGGCAGAACACAGGCATTACGGACTTGACCTCTGATGACCCTGTTTGCTAAATGATATCCTAAAAGATAGAGGGGACCCAAGATGGGTTGGGAAGACTTACCTTTATCACCTAGGCTATCTTTATTGAAGTAAATAAGACAAAATTTTATAGAGGGACACCTACGTCTGAGAAATATTTATGTTTTATTTATTAAGAGTATTTAAATATTAAAGTTTTTATATATTTTATGTATTTAAGTTTAAGTTTATATCTTGTTATTGGGAAATCATCTGGTATTTTAATCCTGCAGGTTTCAGAGGCAGCCACGCATGGATCTTGATTAAGGTTAATCATTGCCCAAAGCAGCCGTATGAGAGGTCCAATGAAGGTGAACCACAGGGAGAGATTGGGCAAGATAGATTGGGTCATGCTGCAATTACAAACAACCCCCAAACTTATTGCTCACCCAGGTCACCTGTGGATTCTGGCTATTCTCCAGGCAACTATTCTCCAGAATTCCAAATTACTTTGATCTCCTGGTATTTGTATATCACCATGTGCTTCTCTACTTCTAGAAATATTTCCTGGCCGTCTACCCTAAATGGAATCTATATGCAGGATATTTATTGCAACCATTCATAATAACAAAAAAAAGGAAGGGGAGGAGTAAACTAGAGTTCAAAAATGATTAAAATGTGGCCTTTTTTTGATTGACCCTGTCATTAAATATGTTAATACACCGTTAAGTTTACTGTCAAGTCAGCCTGGAAGAATTTTATATCTAAACTATCATATTTAAACTCTGGCATCCATGGTTAGTTTTAGCTCCCAGAGAGCAATCCTGTTCACTATTTTCAAGTTCTTGGGAAATATTTTATTGATGTCCTAGTCCTCTGACCCCTCCATGCATAATATTGTTTCATGCCTCTG